AAAATTCCTAACAGAGAGCGTGGTTACAATTACGCATGAGCAGAATATTATTTGCAGCAAAACACGTTTAGACGGTACTACGCATGAGCAGACCACTATTTTGTTGGCGGTTATTTGCAGGTCACGTGGTGGACCCTCGGCAATGAAAAGAAAGAATAAATTTCATCGAGAGATAATTAAGTCTAGTCATGTGGCTTACTTTTGCTACTTCGATCTGTCTTCATTTGCTTGTTTTCAGTTGCGCATGTTTTGTTTATTTTTAGTGGCTTTACTTACTTTTCCTAGTTGTTTTGGTTTACTTCCGTTGTTTTGTTTACTTCGGTTGTTAAGAATACTTCAATTTTTCTGAGGAAAGCTGATATAAAATTTTGTCGTTCATCTATACTAATTAACGGAAAAATCTAATCTTTTTTAACTTTTCTCGCGTTATACATTCAGTTCTCCGTTGATGAAAGACAACACTGTAGGTCTTGGGACTCCAACATGAGGCTCTTTCATCTGATCATCCTGTACATTACAGATACAGTTAGTAAGTATCCAATTGTTTGAATCCACGTTTACACAATACACTCTAGATACAACGAACTTATATAGAATGAAAAAACCTTCTCCGCTCTTCTCAGTGTTGGAAATGTGGCGAACACAGTCTCTCGTGTTTCAAACTCTATTTCCAGCAATGTACCAAATGGGAGAGAGTTAGTTGGCTCAGTTGTACAGTAGTTCAAGTCAGAAGTAACCTAAATCTGTTTGAATGTCACTTGATTCATGGTATGGATTTTTTTTTGCCTTCTGACAGTTGCTGGTCCAACGAAACGTAATCAATGCGTGGAAACCGATGCAGTCAGTTGTCTTGCGAAACAGAAACATGACCAAGTCTGCACTAGCAACAAAGAATCCCTTGGGACAACCCATTGTGCTTCCGTCGTAGGAAAATATGTGGACGATAGAGATAAAGGAAAAAAACGTGACGGTAGTCAAGGATGTCTTTTTCCGAGGATGTATTGACTGCAGCAGTGAGTAAAGTGAAACGACATTAGCCAGCACGCCTACAATTGATTCCGTGTTCCCATGCACGAAGATTATCTTTAGACCGTTGTAAATTCTCTTTCTTGGTAGACGCGATCTTTTCTACAACTACTAGAAAGGTTTATTTGCACAAAAACTCGAGTTCTTACTGAAATTGTAGTCTGGGGGAACCAAACGACCCAACAAAACGCCAAGTTTGTTGAAAGGGGTAATTACGGATTGACCCCGGCGGTTCGACCATATAACTTTGCGTTTTGGTTTCCTCAAGCTATATCGATTGCTGGTGAAAACCCTGCTTCCTTCCATTTCCCCGGCAAGGTCACCTTTCCCTGTGGAAAGTGGGTTTTCTCAGGTAGGCGATATAATGATTGTAGCGGTTACTCTTGGGAAACCCACGTTCCCCAAGGAAAGCCTATATTTCCCAAGTAAAACGGTCTGGTTAAACACTCGCGTCAATTCCATTTCGTAATTGAAAATCTCCACTTGAATTCGTATATATATACTTTTTTTTCAGGTAAAAGGGAAGCTTGTTTTGATCTTGGTGGATTTCTCAAAGGAGTTCATCGTTGGACTTTATATGCAGTGTGAGATCGAATGCTGCACTGGTGACAACTGTAATAACCAGTTCCCTACGCTATCAGAAGACGCCATAGCTGTGTTTAGACCAGACGGTGAATATTTAAGTTGTCCTAAAACGAACTCATGTACAAGTGCAGAGTAAACCTTTAAGAAAACGGCTCAACCAAAGATAAAATAACCAACTAACCCTCTTTTATGGGAAAACCTTTGTAAGAGTTTGCGGCATACTTTAAAAGACGTTTGTAGGGAAAGCAATAGAAAACGCATTGATAAAATAAAATGTATGTGAGGTGGTAAAGCTGGCGGTTAAAAGCTATCATGATCTCTAGTATGCATATTGAAGATGGCTGCTTACCGGGATCTTGCCACACCTAGAACACCTATGTTCAACACGAAGGTACAAGCATCTTCGATAATGCTCAATTTATGCTTGGAACACCGTGAATTGATTTAGATATTATTTGAATTGTTGAAAGGAGAACTAGTTTCTTAAATTCAGATGCTTTTGCATTTTTCTTTTGTTCCCAAGACGCAAGAGTAAATATCTTGAGTCGGCTTCAGTTTTACGAATGCTTACGATTATATTAAAATTTACATATACTAGTCAGCGGTCATCGCAATACGATCCTGTATTAAAGTTTATCAGAAAGCAAGTATTATTCAAGGGTCCACGAGCGTTTCATTACTGGACCCCTCGATCAAATTGAAGCCCGCGTTGCTAGTAAACAGCGGATAATTTTGAAGGAAATCTGCTGACCAAAATTGTGGGGGCTTCGAAGGAATGTGTAACATGTGAAATTCGATCTCTTCGTTCATGTGGCTTGCGTGGTGTTTGTTTTTGTCACTTTTGCGAACAAGGTTAGTTAATGGCACTGTTTTCTTTAGGGCAAAACGTATTATCGTTTTGGTTTTTGTTCCTGTAGGGTTTTTT